AATACACATGCAAGTTCTTGATTGAAGGATCACAACGGCAGTAGTTTGTCATGTCAAGGTTGAAACAACCTATGTGATACAGGATCCTGTCCTTTTGAAGTTTCTTCCAAGTCAAGAACTGAGCAAATCCTGAATCAAGTGGAGCAATCACCAAGAAACCTTTTCCTCGGTCAACTTGCCATTTCATCACATCAAGGCAAAACTTGAATACCAAGTATTTCCAGGAATTTGGTGAAGGATTTGTGATCAACACATATTCAGGATCAAATTTCTCAAGTTGTTTCCAAACTTGGTTTTGTTTCCTTTTGCTATTGGAACTCCAACCATGCTTGTGGTCAATGGGTTCACCAACCTTCATGTTCAATCGTGCCATGTGCTACTGAAGAGTTCCACAAGATCACTTTCGCCAGTTTGACAGAACCAGTGAGCTTGTTCACCTAAATAAGCTTCAGCACATTCAGCTATATCTGGTTCATAGTCATCTTCATCTTCAACTGCAAGTGGCACAGGTTCTGATGTGTCAAGTCCAGGAACAGCAACATCATGCCATTCATCATGGTCACGTCTCACCTTTCATTGATTGACACGCATGACTGAATTGTCAACATGAACATTGACCATGGCACCTTCTTGAGAGATAACAGTACCTCTGATCCATATTTCCTTCTTCCATGCCTTTGAAGCAATAGAGTTAGCATTGGCAGGGGAACTCCAAACGAAAACCTTGTCACCTGGTTTGTAAGGTCCATCTGATGGCATTGTTCGTTTGGCCATGTCATGTCTGAGGTCAGCAGCTTGTCTGGCTTCCTGATGTGCCCTCAGTGCTAACCTTTGCAACTCAAGTTGGGTTTTGTCTTCAGGTAAAGGATCAACACTAAGTTGAGCAGGATCAGAAGTCTCAATGTCCAGAAGATCTGGTGGTCGTCTACCAGTGGCAATTTCCAAAGGAGAATAACCACTAACAGTGAGTTGAATGTTTCTGGCCCAAACAGTACGCTTCACAGCTTCTCTAATGGTAATTCCCTTGAACCTATCATCTTGAAGGTTCTTGGACATGATTCGCCATTGTCGTTTGAAAAGTCTGACAGCTGATTCAGCTCTGTTAGGCCATGGGGATCTTGAACCACAGGGACATTCCTTGATACCACGAGTTCGGTAATAAGGAAGTCTTCTTGGAAAAATGCTTCATCACCTACGATGGCTTTCGGCATACAATTATGTTCATCAGTCCACAACCTAAGAGCCTGAATGGTCTCCTTGTTGTTCAGTGAGTTTTGTGCCATAGCCCAAAGTAAGTTGGTTGCACCATCAAGAACAAGCAACACCATGTACTTGTTCTTCCTCAACTGAATTTCAGCATGATCAACAAAGATAACATCTCCAAAGTTGGTGGAAGGTATGCCTGAAATTCTGGCTCGCGGCGGTGGTGCAATTGAAGTACTACACACACGACACTTGTTGTACATGTCTTCAAACTTTTCACAAACAGAGTCAGGAAGTCCCAACATGAAAGTCCCTCGTCTGAATTGAGTAGGAGACATGTGATAGTGTTAAATGTGAAGTTTGTAAAGTTCCACACTATCCTCCAGATTCCTGAGCATCTTTCTGTATGCTGGTGTCATGGCTTGCACTTCACTACCAGGCAGTGGAATTGAAACTCGCCTAGGCTCAAGAGCATCCCTACCTAGTTTTTCGATTTGACTTTCTGAATATTGCTTACCACGTTTTCGGGCAGGTGCAGAAGGTTTTGGTTCAATGACTTGAGGTTCATCTGAATCAATTTTGTCCAAACCTAACTCCCTAGCTCTTTTGTCAAGTTCATCTTCCTCATCAAGCTTGGGATAGGAGACAACAACCTTCTTTCTTGATGAACCTGCTTGAGAGTCATCGACAACTTGAGGTTTTTTGCTTACCTACGTGTCTCTTGGATGCTGGAGGGCCTACCTCAACCTTTTTCAAGCTTGATCCTCTCGAAATTGGTTTGCCTACCTCCTTCTGTGAGGAGCTTGGCTGCTTCTGTACACCTGATGGCGCTGAAGAGGCTAACTCAGGGTGAAACAGATCATCGATGTTTCCACGAAAGGGCTTTGCTCGATCAAGGTCACTTCTGGCAACATCATCTGGGATCACGTAGTCCTCCTTGATCTTGTAGATGGTCTTGCCCTTCAAGAACTCTTCACTCTGTTCAGAAAACCTTTTCCTTTCTGTGCGCCAGTTGTCCTTGTGAAGAACCTTCTTCTTGCTCTTCTGGTACTCAATGTGTGTCTCTCTCTCTCATCAAGAAGTTGATCTTTTGGAATTGGAGTCTCTTCTGATCGATTCATCTCATGTAGATTCCTTCTCTTGTCCTTGTGGTGCCTGATGAGTTCACGACCTAATGGATCAACTTGCCAGTAGTCACCAGTCACCAAAGCTTCTTCTTCATGAACATCTTGTTTGACAGCAATCTGGCTGTACTCAAAGTGATCGTGTTGTGAGAAGAAGCTCTTGACTTGAGGAGTCTTTAAATGAACTTGGTTCATGTACCATGCTACATCTTGTAGGTCGAGAATGAGATGAGTACTGATGGTTGTCTTCAAAAACATTTTTTCTCATGCCAATACGTGCACAGGACAAGTAAGCCTTCTCTGGAGTAAGTTCAAATTGAAATCTAAGGTTTCTCAGCTGTGGAAGTGACATCAACCATGGGACATCACCTTCTTCGATAATGTCGAATTCTGTGAACTGAGTGTTCCATCCATGATCATACATGAATATCACGAGCTTCTCAGTGCACTTGAATTGTTGGGAATTTGCAAAGAAGAATCTTGAGCTTGTTGGCTGAATTTCATACCAGAGTCCACTGTTGGGATGTGAGCCAACATATCTGCAAAATACTTCAACTGCTCGTCGAGAGCCCATAGCTCTTGTGCATCCAAGATCCAGGATACATACAGTTGGTGGTGCAGAATTCTCTGTGTGAAAAGCTAGGCGTTTCTCACATGCCAGATCAGTCTGTACAGTATGAAATGAAAAAGCACTCTGATGCTCATCTGATTCCTTTGTCTCTGCAAAGCATTCAGACTGAGATGGTACCTCTGTCTCTGCAGAGCATCCATATGAAAACAATGATGTGCCTTTTGCCAACGGCTTCCATGAAGCCTCACCTTCTTGAAGACCAACTTGCCTGGGCACACGAGCTGGATGTCGTTGTACACCTTGTCGAAGTGCATCAAGATCTCCAACCAGAACAGGGAACTTCTTGAGTCCTTCTCTGTTATGCTGTGCTGTTGCATCACGTTGGTTCTGTCCTCCACGACGAGTGCGTCGATGTACTTCTTGTTCTGCATACGTGGATGCAAAAGCATCTACACGTGCTGGTTCAGTCTCTGCAAAAGCAAAGAAACCATGACCAGAGCTTGATGCAGCAGAAGAGTAATGAGCTTGTTGCTGTTGTTGATTCTGTATGGTAGGAGTTGATGTGGTCTGAGGTTGAACATAGTTTGACTTGCCTTTTCCATCTCCTGGCTTTCCTCCTTTGCCATCATCATCCTTGCCTTTCTTGCCTTTCTTTCCTTTTCCTTTTCCTTTCTCCTGGAAGTATCCATACTCATCCATGTAGTACAGATCATCATAGGCCCAAAAGCTTTCATTCCAGTTTTGATCATCGGCCCAATAGCCTTCATAGGATTCATTGCATTCTTCTCCTTCTTGCCAATCTTCTTCATAACCTTCTTCACTCACCATGTGAGAGCGGCCTTTTCTTCCGTTTCCTCGGCCTTTTCCTTTCCTTGATCTGAAGAACCTTCGCCCTCCTCTGCCTTTTCCTTTTCCTTTTCTCTTTCCTTTACCTTTGCCTCGTCTGGTCTGTCTGCCTTGGAACCTTCTCTGATACCATGTGTAGTCAGCGTCATCATAAACCCAGAAAACATCTTCTAAAGCATCCAGGAATCCTTCTGCGCCGTCTTCATCATCTTCGGCCCAATAGCCGTCGGTTCCTTCTAGTTCACCTTCATCCAGTACGAGGAAAGATCTTCTCTGTGCCATGCCAGAGGGTTGCATCATTGGATTGTCAACTGCTGTTTTGGTAGTGCAAAACACTTCCAAAAACAGATCACGTAGTTCTTGTGTGTTGTGCTGATCGATGGTTCGTCCACGATGTGTCATGATACTTGTGAGTGTGTTTCTTTGATCTTGACTCAGGTCAGCTAGACTTACAAAATCAATGCTAGCAAATTGTCACCTAATGGGAATGCCTGTCTTTGTGCTTGTCTACGATTCGCATTAAAAAGTCTGAATGCCACTAATGCCAGTTCATCTGACCATGGAACGATGATGTGAGGGTCACCTCCTGGTAACGCTGCTGCCACTGCAGCCTTTTGTGCTTGATCTCGTTCATGTTCTTGTCGTTGCTGCTGAACAAACAGAATTGCTTCAGGACTAGTGATCACTGCTTCTGGAAGTCAATTCATCCAAGACTCAATAAGTCTGTTGCCATTGCGTTGAAATCTAGCCATCCACTTCTGAAGATCCATGGTTCCTCTGTTGAACTTCATGAACTGCATGAAACGGTATAAAAAACACGTTCTAAGCACCCTTGATGAAATGAGGTCGTAGAAATCTTTTGAAATAGTTCACTCCGTCATTGGGATCTCTTAGCATGTCTCTGTCCAATAACCACTTGTATTGCTGAGCATCTCCTTCCAGTCGATTGCGCAAGGCTGGTCCACGTTTCTCAGGTTCTAACTCCGTGATGTCACACCAGTCATCGATTGCATCTTCAAAGGCAAACAAACTGGTTCTCCCATCATATGCTGGAGCTACCTTCATGGTCATCTGTTGCGTCATGTGAATCTGTGTCTGCTGGGGAGCTCTTCTCATTGCGTAAGAGTCATATTGGTTCCATCCATCTGCATCGACAATGTCGAAGTCATGTGTAGTCGCGCGCCGCATGCTGCCCATGCCCCGCCGCAAGCAGCAGAACACAGTGCATAGCAGCCCAAGGAAGCCACGCTTCAGCCTCAGCCAGCACCCGCAGGTGCCAAACGACGAGCAGCTTCAGCTGCCCGGATTGTGCCCATCTGCACCAAGAGATCCTTAGTGACTTGATGGGAGCCGCTCCAACCAATCCTGGAGGCGAGAGGGCACTCAGGCTGCGGAAGCAACCTCAAATGAGAAAAAGCCTGACAGCTCCACAAGACATGAATGACGCCAGGAACATCAAGCTGCAAACAATACGGACACTGCTGAACAGGAGCGACCCCTTGATGCAGTCTCTCAAAATCAAGTGAGACAGTTTGGAACCCTCCACAGGCAACAGAGACAACATGAGCATCACAATCTCTGAGAATAGATCTGACAGTTTTAATCAGAGGCTCGGAAATGATAAGATTGGTATCACGACCTATCCCACTATCAATCCTGGTGCGGTGCGACAACCACTGACGCACTTTTTTCAAACGCCACGCGTCTCGAATGTGATGGAGGCATTTGTCAACTTCAGCCTTCACTGCCCCAAAATGAATGCAAGGGACATCCCCGCTCTGGCCGACAGCATTGCTATGAGCACACCAACCCAAGTCTTGCAGGATGCTATTGAGGCAAAACACCGTAGACTGGCTCCAGCGACAGTTCTCGCCCAAGCTGGCACAGTGACGTGCCCAGGCAAAACCCGAACTGATGGTGCGGAGGGCCCCATAGAAGGCCAGGTCGCAAGTGTGACCAAAGAAGAAAGCCCGCTTGAGGTCCATGGACGAGCGCCCTTTGACAAACCGGTTGTCACTTGTCGCCGCCTTGTAGTGGCGGAAGAAGCAGGCAATATCCTTCTGGGTCGGGCAGCGACCGTTGATCACATGGCCCCACACTGCTTTGGGCCCCAACACGGTGGCTGCCAAGCGACCTTTGAGGCGAGCACTCACAGGCAAACAAGCAATGCGCCTGGAACGACGAGCGACATCAAGCAACGTGTCCCTTTCACGGTCTGAGAGAGCACGTTCCTCTGGACCAAGCGTAGCCCCAAGGACCTGCATGGTGAAGCTGGCATTGGAGCTATAGTGGGTGTTATCCAGCTTTGCCAAAGCCTCAGGAGAGCGAGCCCAGATTTGACTCTTCTCCTCATTCGTGCGGAGCCGCAAAAAGGACTCCATGGTAGACCAGACGTTGTTGACCAGATCAAGATCAGCAACAGTCGGGCACAAACAAGTCCTGTCGTCAATGTACGTGACCGTGAAGATGTCTGGGTGAAGAGCTTGCAGTTGGCGAAGCACAGGTGCCAAGATGACGGCCATGCCAAGAGGAGCAAAAGGATCACCTTGAAGCAAAGCTGGGCACTGGACTATAGGTTGAGGGTGGACACATTGGCCAAATGTGACCCACCTTGTCTGCTGATCCCAAGCCGCCCCGAGCGCCTTGAGAATGGGACCCGGGATGCCGAGTGCTTCGAAGAGACGAAGACAGATCACATAGTCGACCGAATCAAAAGCTTTCTTGTAATCCAAACTCATGCCGTAAGGGTGAGTGGCGGCATCAGTTTGGTTCTGAAGAGCGGCCAGCATCATTTCGGCGCCAATGCCTGGCAACCCCCCAACTTGTCTCTGATGCAGCAAACCAACCAGGCCAGGACTGATCTGGGCGAACCTGTGCTTGGACCAGGCCCTGTAGATGAGGGATCCAATGGCAATCGGCCTCACCTTGGCCACATGGGTAACACCAGTTTTGTCAGCAGAAACCTTAGGTAGAAATGTCAGCCGCCACTGCACCAGCGGGGTAGGCCACTCTCCTACCTGTTCGACTTGCAAAAGCAGCTTTGTCAATCGCTCCCAAGCCATGTCGGGAAGCAGCAGTAAAGCTTCAGCAGACCATTGGTCCGGGCCGGCAGCCTTCCGTCTCATCTGACGGACGGTATCCTTAAGACCCTGGGCAGTGAGCGCAGGAGTAGCCAGCTCCGGATTGTTCGGGATCCAAGCTGCATAAGCTTGGATAAAAGGTTCAGCCTTGGGCTCGTAGCCTTCGGGCCCGCAGAAAATATTCTTCCAAGACTCAAATAAAAACGCAGCCCCTTGACTTCTACCAGACGTGTTCTTGTCACCGTTGGTGAGGGCCCAAGAGGGCGGGGCTTGCTTTCGGAGCCAAGCACAGGCTCCGTCATAAGTTTGCACCTTCTGCCGCCAGCCATGCAGTGCATGCAGATTGGACTGCTTGAGGAAAAATTTGAGTTGCTCCGTAAGCTGCTTGAGGCATGCCCCCCACCTGTGGGCTTGCGCATCAGCTCCGCATCCAAATTGGTTGCAATTTCTCTGGCAGGTTCTCTGCAAGTTGGTAGGGACCGAGGTGCCATTGTGAACGTGCCGTTGAGCTTCGTCCAATCTGCGGATCACACGCCTGAGGCGCCTCTCCGTGATGCTTTGACCAGGGCCATGTCGGGAGGGGCCGCTAACCATAGTGGGCAGGGACCCTCTTTGCGCAGCACTGCTTTCATGGCTGACTGCACCGATTCTTTTCAGAAAAACTTCCGCATCAGAAGACCAGGTAGACCATGCATCATTTATATCCTGTTGAACCAACGCTTCCCACACCTCAGACGGTGTGCTGACATGGTGCCATGCCTGAGCAGCCTCATCCGCGGAGGGGAGGTCACAATTGTCCTGGAGGCGTGCCACCGCTTTGAAAATCCATGCAGGAGGGGACGGATCTGAGCAGGGAATCTGGCCTAACTCAACAAAGGAGCCAAAATGGTCGGAGAGAGCATCCATGGGCGATTGCTTCTCACAACTGAGAGACTGAGAGAACCAAACAGAGTCCGTGGGATGAGTACTGCGTTTGTGACCGGACGAGCTACCCAGCTGACCAGAAAAGGAAGTCATCACAGATGCTAAAGGATCACTGGCAGGGTCCAAGTTCCAATCGCATGCAAAAACCCAATGCTTGTGCTGAATCCGACAAAAACATTCCATAAGCGCTTCATTGGGGGCATCAAGCGCCTGCTGGGGCCGTCTATACCCGCTAATAACAGTAATGGGGACTTTGTGTCCAAGGATCTCGGCAACCTGAAGTTGTCCCCAAGTTTCAGTGGTGGAATGGATATCCGCTAAGGCTAAAGGCTCTTTGACCAGGATTGCGGTGCCCCCACGACCGCCATCTGCAACGGCCCCTGCTGGCGTTCCACTGAGCTGCCAACCGTGCCTTCGGGCCAAGTGCATGGCAGAAACCATTTGGCCTCTAGTGATCCCCGTTTCCTGGAGAAAGATCACATTAGCATTGACTGCCTCAGCCTCCTGACACATAGCCGCGAAATGATTTCGGAAAGAGTTGATGTTCCAAGCCACACATCTGAGTTTGCCGCCATGGTCGCCTGACGGGCCCGGGTGCTTGGCTTCTCCAACCCGCACAGCACGGAGGCCCCGACCCGTGGCAGCACTGCCGTCAGCTTTTTTACTGAAAGAAGGAGCCATACGTTTGCTTGGGAAAGAATTACCAGAATCAGACCCAAGTTTTCGTTTGTTGGAATGGTTATCCTGTTGGCAAAAATCCACAGAGATTTCCTTGGCTGCAGTTTCACGGCATTTTTGCCACAGTGCCTTTCGCTTGGCTATACTAGGGAGGCGACCTTTTTGGGCCGCGGAACAAATAGACGCAGGGATTTCAGAACTTCCGGCAAAGCAAGAACATTTGAGACAAGTAAATTTCTTGGAGGTGTAACGCTTTCCATTTTTGGAATGCCTGGTTTGGTAGACAACCGAAGGTTCAGGCGACAAATCATGCGCAGCAGCCCAGCGAACCTTCTTGAAGAGTTCAAGCTGCCGGATCCATCGCTTTTGAACAGTGTCAATAGTGGCCAAAACCCCCGTAGGTCTAAACCCGGTTTTGGGAAGTTTCGGGATATCTTTGCTTTTGATCCCATGGACAGAGGTCAAGTGGTAGATTCTCTTAGACTCTTTATGCCTTTGCTCTCCATGAATGACCTTAAAATCACAAAAGGAGCAGCTCCACCAAACAGTCCCGTCCCTGTTCCCCGCAGGAAAAACCGGCAGTCCTTGAAACAAAGGCGCAGGCGTGACCTGCTTCGCATGGGCAAACCGCTGTTGTTCCTGTCGGAGATGGATGTCCTTCAACTGTTTAGTGCGCTCCTGCGCCTTTTGCTGCAGAATCTGTCTGGCCTTTTTCTGGCATTTTTTGAAGAGTTTCTTCCTGACACTTTCTTGGGGAACCTTGTCGCCATCAGAAGACTTACAAATTAGAGAACCCAATTGAGCTTGTCTGCACACTCTTCCACAAGCCTCGCATGGCCAATCCAAGTTTCGGGCGCCCTTGCGCTTGACAGGGCGCTTGACCTGATGGAGACCTGGCCACTTCTCAGAATTGAGCACTTCGCACAAAACCTGGGCAAACTTCTCACATGGTGGAATAGCAGACCCCACAGGTGCGGGATCCGCGACAATTTCTGGCACTTCGTTGCAAGAAATGCCATGTTTCTTCCGCAAGTGATGTTTTCTCCTTGTGCGATGGATTTCAGGTTTGTCTTCGACGTGGCGAAAAATTTGATATCCGCAAATGTCACAAGTCCACCACTTTTTAATATCCGGGGGCAAATCAACCGTAGGAATAGCAGCAATCTCTTCAGGACTCAAGCATTTAATCTTACGGGTACAATTTCTACTCCCCCCACCATTGTCAACACTGCAATGCGAGGAGTCACTTTCAGGGGGGGGTCCCAGAGAGGGAGAGGAAAAAGAAGACGCACGCGCAGGGCGACGACAAGCAAGATTGACGACCGAGTGGACGGACGGGGTGACAGGACCAGACACAGGACCGGCGGCGCTCACACAGCGATGACCCGACGAAGGACACGAGCGCGACTCGAAAGCGTCCGCACAAAAGGTCTTAGACCGCAAGCGGCGAACCGGAGTGACCGATCGGACGGACGGAGTGGGGACCGACGGGCAAGAACTCCGAGCGGGCACGGGCGTGACCGGGGGCAGAGCAACACTGGGGACAGCACCGGAAACGCCAGGGCGGACAGACGCAGCGGACCGGACCAAGGAGTGCACGGAGGGGGAACGCGAGGACGAAGCCGCACAGAAGCCAAGCAGACCGCCAACCCGCCCCGCCGAACCCTGAGCCATGGAGGGAGCAGGAGAGGCGAGGGAGTGCACGGAGGGGGTGCCGGCAGAAGAGGAAGTCCTCTGGGAAGGAGAGCCACCAGCGCGCACCGACGGGGGAGAAGGCCCAACAGGCGCAAGCCCAGCGGAACCCGAAGCAACACCACCAACTCCGCCAGAGAGATCAATCACAACATCCGGAGTTTCCCGAAGCCAACTGTGAGGGACGGAACCGGTAGGGGGAGGCACCAGGGCAGTGTAGTGTTTGGAAGTGATAAGAAGGCAAATGGGGTTGCAACCAGTGCTACCACAAGCAAAACCTCGGCTGAACTTGGGTGCAATCACGTATCGAGTGTACGTGTTCCCATCCTTATTCCAGATCACCACTGGGCAGCCAAGTTTCTCACGGGCCGCCTGGATGGTGCGACCATCAGCCCAAGTGGTGGGCTTGGCTGCGTTGTTGAGCCAAGCATCAAAATCTGACTTTCCTGAAAAAAGCTCCGCATACCTGCGTGAATGTTTTTTGATATGCTGACAAGTCTGCGCTCTGATCCATGCCGCGTGATGCTGACTATCCTGGACATCAGGTTGAGTGTTGGCCTTGTTCACAAAAACGCTTGCATGTCGAAAAAACAGTCACCATTTCCGTGCTGGTCCCACTGCTGCCACCCAAAACTGCTGAGGGCCTCTTGAGGGTCACTGGGTTCAACCAAACGCTGTTTTTTGGGAGGTCTACTCTCCTCGGTTTTTCCCATGTTTTCGTCTTCTTTGCTCTCGTCTTCCTGAGTATCAGGGATAGTAGGAGCGACCTCATCAGATCGCTTTGGTGACCTGCTGCGTTGAGTGCGGTCACGAGCACTGCTACGGACACCCTCAGTTGCAACTGGTGAGACACCGGCTGGTGTATGGGAGTCAGTTGGAGATTTCGCTTGGGGCAATTCCTCAGGATCAGGAACCTTGGCTGCAGGCCAAAACTCTTTCAAGGTGACTTCTCGCCTGGGTCCTCGCAGAGAAACATTCTTCTGGGGAGCCTGAGGGGCCCGGACCGCAACCTGAATCGTGATCGTCCAGTCTGTGCTGTCAGAGGAGCCGATGTCGTAATGCCAAGATGCTGTGGTGGCATTGTCTTTCGGAGCCTTTGCCCGAAAAGTCCATGAGTTTCGCTTGCGGACAAGGTCAGAAATTTCAGACCATGCCTGAGACTGCAAAAATGATTCCAAGTCACCAATCCCCCAAGCCCGGGGGACGCCCTGAGCAACATGCATCCTGACTTTCTCCGGGGAGACATCACTGGGTTTCTTGCAGAAGCCCAGGTTAGCACCAGAGCCAAACCTGAAAATCATAGGTTGAGCACGCTCCTTTTGCAAAGCCGCAACACGTCTAAAGTAGGTTTCGTCATTTTCTTGGGAATTCCTCTGGATCCAAAAAGGATGAAACTCCGTTTTGTCTTTGGGGTTAATATGAGTAAAAAACAAACCAGACTGGCCACTCAGAGGCTTCAGTTTAGCCACAGTGGAAGATTTCAGGCGTAAAAAAGCAACAAGCTGTTTGCCATCCTTCGTTTCATGGGCATTCCAGCGCCCCCCTAAAAAATCATGCAGAGGTGCCTCAGCAAGATTTGCTAAGGCTTGCACAATCAAGGTTGGTGAGTCTTCTCTGCGATCTCCGATAAAGGGGACCCTGAAAAAACTTGGAGCAGCAACTCGCAAGGTTTCCCTTTGCACCGTAGGGATGCTGCTGATGTCAACCTTCTTGCTGCCGGGGAGCCAAGGACCTTGGCCAGGACCAATCCGCAATAGCGACCCTTCTTCAAGCTTTGGTCCAAACGACCCTCGGGTCACTGACAACCTGGCCGAAGTGGCCTCAGGATTCTGGGCTCTGGCCTCTCCAAAAAGGATGGCGGTCAAACCTTCAGTTTTTCCAAAACATGACCACAAGGTGTTCAACTCATCCAGGACATCCGGGCTCCATATCTCAACCACGTTCCCGTCAATCTTTTGTCCAAGTTTCAGGGAGTCACGAATTTTAGGGAAAGAAATGAGCTTGGGAACAGGCTGGGTGGCCCAATCAGTGGACCTCAGCCCTGACATCCAAGTGCCATGTCTACCTTGGTTCGGCTCGCCTTTGTGGCCAGCTGCTCGGCTGGCAGAATGATGATGGCTTGCTGAGGTCGGAACATCAGGTACCCACGTCCACCACCCTCTTTGGTTGATGGTGTACGCTCTCTTGTGACCGGTTTCATCAGTCCACCAGAGAACCTTTTCATCAGTCCCGCCTGTGTCAGCAGGAGGTTTGGAGCCGACGCTTTTCAGTTTCTTTTTCTTGGGTCCACTCTTTTTGGTCCTATGAGGCACCGTCTGGGCGACAGTGGCCTGTAGGGCCGACCACAAATGCTCCAGTGAAGGTTCATTGTTGAGGCACTGTTTCAAAGCAGCAATCAAATCCCGGGTTTGTTCACCCAGAGTATGGCTATTCCCCTCACCCCGTTTGGCATATTTCCGTCGAGGTGGGTGTTTCTTATACTGGTTGAGAGTACCCCCAACCAAGACACCTGAGCAAAGAAGATCAACATACGCTTTGCTAAATTTAGACCAAGCAGATTTGCTTTGCGGAAAATCAGGCATTTCCTTGTCCGACACCGGTGAAAGAAACTGTGGCCGGGAACGGAATTTGAAACTCCGTCTCTCCCTGACTTTCTGACGTGTCGAAATTCTACATTTCATGCGAGCCCCCCTAACTCGTCTTGACCGAACAAAACGGCACATGGAAACAGTTCGGCCGAACACAAGTCGTTTACCTCTCAGGCAAGGCCTGTTTGACCTTCGCCGTTTTCGTTTGAGTTTGTGAACCCTTCCAAGAAGAATCACTGAAGTAAAAGACCACATCAGGAAATGAGGCCACAATTCAACATGAAAATCAAACAGCAAAAAACCCACCACAAGTGACCAAGGAGTATCCCATGACTCTGGATCCCACAAATCGCTCTCGGTAGGTGCCAGCCAAGATGCAAAAATGGCCTCGCTGCTTGGTGTCAGGAGTTCACTGCAATGGCACTGAGGCGCAGCGCATGTTGAGTTCGAAGGCGCACAGCGCGCGAACTTCACTGCAGAACAGCTGCCGCACAGACCATTGCAAAGGGTCACATTGGCCGCGGCTAACCCACCGCCAAACGACGCACCCGGGGAGCCCTCCAGGGGGCTAGGTCTAGTGCATGCCACGGGGCTTTCCGTGCAAGAAGACGCAGCTTGGGCAGGCAAGCACATCAAGCACAGCAGCGCCAGCCAGCAAGGCAACTGTCTAGGTTGAGATCCATTGATCTTCATTCTCTTGACTTCTCTTTTGGTATATTGTTTCGACTGCTTGAAATCAGCCGCATTTTGAATTCGGTGGTCCGTCACGGACTCTTGTTTCGACTGACGTCTGTCAGCCGCATTTTGCACATCAGGCGTGAATTCTTTTTTGTTTGTTTTGTTTTCCTTTTTTGCCTTTTTTTGTTCTTTTTTTTGATTTTTTTGTCTTGCAATCCAATTAAGGTGCTCTTTGGAACTTTGCACCCACTGCACCACAAAGCGCAGTAGGCCCGCCAGCGCCAAGCAGCAATGCTGCAGGGGGCGTCCCTCCGCAGGCCAATGTCGAAGTCATCATCATCATAGCCATGGCGTGCCATTGCTGGGCTCTACCTGGAGCTCACCTTCAATGAAGGATCACTGCTCCGCTACCACTTGAAGAGGGGCCCTAGCGTCTACTTCAAGATCAGCTAAGGCGTCTTCCCAAGACAGCTCACACTTTTACTCTCGGCGTATTGCCAGTTCGTGCGGTGTCCACAAGGCTACTCTATGTACCTCTTGAGCCTTGAGGGCGCATACAAATGTGCTCAATACTCATGCATGTACCTCTGTAGGTATTAGGTCAAAAGAAAAACAAGGGGGGGGACCTGGGAGGCTGCATCATATATATGTATGTATGTATATGTATGTGGCCCAATGTCTGGTGGTCCCCCCCGAGATGGTGATGTTCCCTATATGTATATGGATGTATAGAAGATTCTACAAGTATGTATGTATCTGTATGATTCTAACCGTATACAAGTTATGAGGCATATATATAAATATATACATATATATATATATATACAGTATATACACATATCATATATATATATACATACACATATGTTTATGAATATGTGTATTTTTTTAATGTATGTGTATATATATATAAATATAAATACACATGTATAATATGTAAGTCGACCCACCACCTGTGGATGTGCCGGCAGGTGGGGGTCGGGGTTGGGATGGGGGGTGATGGCTGAAGGAGAGTCCTTGTGAGTATACGTGATGTAAATTGAGAGAGAAAAAGAGAGAGAGAGAGACACCTTCAATTCAAAGTATGAACCATCCACTATCAACTCTCGTAGGCACCCATCAAATTAGAATTACACAACGTAAAGTGAATCTTCCAGTCAAGCTATGTTTTCTGTTCACAGCAGCCTGGAGGTCCAACTGGGACCGTCGACAAGGGAGGCCCCACTATGGCAAAGCTTGGGCCACTCGCAGACACCGCAAATGGATCGACAGAAAGGCATGCAACATGGAACATCAGTGACTAGTCCATATGAGCCTCCCACGCTATATATAATGGCAAACACGAAGCCTGAAGGCTTTCTGCAGTAGAAGGATCAAAAGTCCATGTAGACACTTCAATTGCAAACATTTGCTAACTACGCGCAAAAACCGCAAGTTTAACCATTTAGCTGGCGTGAGGGTTGAGCTATCAACTCGACTGTTTGTGATGGTGATTTCGCTAAGGTGAAAATCCTTCCTTGACATGTGAAAGATCTGCCCGGTCTTGGTGGATTGGTAGGATATGGTTTGAATCTGGTAGGATTTGCTTCAAAGCAAATCCTGTAGCTCCAAACAGAGGACCTGAGATCTAATTTATGAAACTATGTAAAATTTGCAGCATTGTGACAACAAAAATCTAAACCTGCAATCAAGTCCGGTCGGGCTGGCAATATGATCTGGAAACGTGCATTTCTGAGAAAATGCTGGGGGATTGAAATGCTTGGCGCACAGAACTTGGAAGAAGTTAATGCAGACCAACACAGAATCTTGTAGGGCTAATGATAGTCAATGATAGTCTGTGATCTACGACGCTATGGCTCTACAAATGGTGTCAAACCGCTATTGCAGCTACCCCAATAGCTTGACAAAAGACTTCACTTGCCTTGAAAGCTCACGGTGCTCCACTCACCCACGCTGCGTCATGACCTCCAGAATGCTAATTGGAGATTGAAGTCATGTTCATCGCGTGACTTGCTGCAATGTGTCTGCACCACTGCTGTGGACCTCCACACTCCCTGCATAATGCGACGAAAATGCATTTGTACCGGCGAAGCCACCAGAAACGCCCTCCGCTTGACTCCAGCGGTCAGCCCAAACCCAAAAGAGGCCTAACAAGTAGGGCCCGCTCTCTTGACTAGTTATTTAGCCATTTAGTCATTTATGTCATGCCTATTATGCAACAAGAGGGCGAGGAATCAAAAAAATGAAATATATGTGGGTGTGTGTATATTACAAATACTTTTACATTTACATGTGCATGTGCATTCGCATTTATATTTCAATTTTTTGATATATTTAAATTCAAATAGTTAAATTCATCAATGTTTAAATATTTCAATATTTAAATATTTCAATATTTAAATTTTGATATTTTGATATATGTTACATGTTTTTAAATATTGATATTTTGCTATATGTATGTTTATATATGTTTATTTACTTATATGTATACATATATATATATCTAAATAAATATATCAATATTGAAATATTGATATATTTAAATATGTATATATTGAAATATTGAAATAAATTTAAATTTATAAATTTATTAATTCAAATATTTAAATATTTACAGAGATATATATTGAACTATTTATAAACAATTAAATTTATATTTTTATTTAATTAAATATTTAAATATTTGAAAATATTTATATATTTAAAACTATTTATATATTTAAACATTGTATATTTATGTATTATATATGTACATATTTCAAAATATTTGATGATATATATATATATATTGAAAAATATCTATATGTTGATATATTTATATAATAAAATTTCTATTCAAATATAATAAATATATATGTATATGTTTATTGAAATTTATAATTTTTATTTTTACATATTTTTAAATATGTATAAATAAAAATGTATATATGCTTACATATTTTCTATATTGATATAATTTTATGTAAAATCTATATTAATATTTTTATCTCAATTTATTTATCTATTTCATTTTTCTATGTATCTATTTATTTATATTTAAGGCATCCTAAAGCAGAAAGCGTGCCCTGAGGCCCTGGTATTCTATGCCCTTGCAACGATCTGGAGACTAAACTCAACATTTCTGTGGAACGTACAGCGTTTTGGAACTGGAACCTCTCGACCGAATGGTTTTTGCGGCATATTGATGTACATTGGACCTGGAAATCACTCATTCGCATGTTTTGTTGACATTTTGTTAGCATTTGGTAACATTGTGGAGCTCGACGCTGCCGTTTCGAAAGCATCTGCAGCGCTTGCGATTTCGAACCTTTCATTTTCGATGGTTTTAGACTTAGTTATATAGGATATAAAAGGTTGGTTTAGGTTAAGAATTGCGTTCAGGCCTGTGTCTATAGAATGAGTCTGGGATAGCCGAAACGAAAAAAACACTAAAAATGATGAGTTTTTAGTTTCACTTGAAATGCAAAACTCTCAAAAAACAAGGAAATTTGCGTTTTGCTTGAAATGCAAAACTCTTAAAAAACAATGAATTTTGCGTTTTGCTTGGAATGCAAAATTCTTACCGGAAAAAATGCCTCCCAAAAAAAATAATCGTGGTCGGGTTGGGGCTGCACATTCTGTGGTCGCATTTCTGAAATCCTACCCCAAACCCAAAGCTGGCCCCTACGACATCAGAACAATTGTGTTTGAACGGCAAACCTTCAGGTCGACAAAGTCACAACATGAAACCCTACTTAGGTGCGTAATTGAATCAGATGGTGGCACAAAACATCTTCTACAAAATCACAACCATGGAAAACCCCATGCTACCTGTAGGAACGCTGCTTCTCCACAGTTGCGTTTTGAAAAAGATGTCGTCTTTTTGGATCACGTTCTTTGTTCATCCTGTTTCTTTCATGTTCATCATGTTTCGATGGTTCAAGTTCATGTTCTCTTTCTTTTACTTCGAGCCTCTGCAAAATTATGGGGCAACATGGGGCAACCATGAATGAAACGACGGCAACAAATGAGCCAGAGTTTCAGCTACGAACCCAAACCGTTGACGCATGCGCCCGAAATCATCGCGTCTCCACGGGTAAACACAAATAGTGGACAGCAAGGTGGACAGAAAAACAACAAAAGATAGACTAAAATAAGATGTTTTCTTGTCTAATTTACGCTAAGACTTCCACGAGAGAAACGACATGCGGGTTCAATCTGTTTGGTGTTTGTTGGATGGATCTGTGGCGAAAGGGTTTGTGTCTGAAAGATCCGGCATTTGTAGCCCTAGCGCTGTGGCCGGATGACTATCCGGAAAAACAGCGTGGAAAGTTTGGGTCCTGTGCGCAACACTTTTGGCTTGCTCATTAATTACCGGAACCAAAGCGTGACCAAAATGCAATTTTCAGCGTTTTTGATAGCGCCCCATAGTGCCACATAGTGCCCCGGATGATTTTGAGGAAAAAAACAGTTTCACAAAATTTGCAAAAATGATTTTTTCAGCATTTTCAGCGATTTTGAAAGCACCCCAAAGTGCCACATAGTGCCCCCGATGATTTTGAGGAAACGCCAAATTTCACAAAAAAATTGCCAAAATGCACTTTTTCAGCGCTTTTGATAGCGCCCCATAGTGCCACATAATGTCCCAGATGATTTTGAGGAAAACTCCAAATTTCACAAAATTTGCAAACATGATTTGTTTCAGCATTTTTGATAGTGCCACATAGTGCCACATACTGCCCCGGAAAAGTTTGAGGAAAACGCCAAATTTCACAAAAAAATGCCAAAATGCACTTTTTCAGCGTTTTTGATAGCGCCCCATAGTGCCACATAATGTCCCAGATGATTTTGAGGAAAACTCCAAATTTCACAAAAATTTGCAAACATGATTTGTTTCAGCGTTTTTGATAGTGCCACATAGTGCCACATACTGTCCCGGAGGAGTTTGAGGAAAACGCCAAATTTCACTAAAATTGCCAAAATTGACTTTTTCAGCGTTTTTGATAGCGCCCCAAAGTGCCACATAGTGCCACATAGTGCCCCGGGATGATTTTGAGGAAAACTCCCAATTTCACAAAATTTGCAAAAATGAGCTTTACTGGATTGAAATGGTGGTCTTGGACCTCAACAATAAAAGATGCCATGTGTTTGAGGCTTGGATTCGGTTGATACAAATGAATGTGAATCATACATGTAGTTGTTTAGTAGATACTTTGGTCCTGATTAGGGTGTCTCTTCAGGCAGCAAATTGTGCTTGACCTTGGTCGAAGATAATTCCAAAGAAAGGCGCTTATCAGGGAACTTCTTCGCATAGCGCATTTTCATTTATGTTTGTACTGGGGCGACGCTAAAGACTGGACATGATTGGACAATTGACTTCTTATAGTGAAGGAATTTGATTCTTATTAGAATTTTTAGGAACCTCTTCGGCGAGCATATGTTGATTTACCTTCGTATGTGGATACTGTTGATTAACTTTGCCTGGAAGCAGATTCCAGGTCCGGGTGTGCGCGGACATCTCCTGTATAACACATGTCGCACTTGCACTATAATTTTATCTTTTTCCCGAGAGCGCCTGCGAAGGGTTCTTCGTAAAAAAGCAGCCGTTATACTACATCTTCACACCTTCGCGTCTGCTGATCTAAATCTTCACACTCTCACATCTGCTGATCTACATCTTCACACCTTCACATCTGCTGATCTACATCTTCACACCTTCACATCTGCAGATCTACATCTTTTCTACATCTTCACACCTTCACATCTGCAGATCTACATCTTCTCTTCACACCTTCACACCTGCTGATCTCTGCAGATCTACATCTTCACACCCTCACATCTGCAGATCTACCTCTTCACACCCTCACATCTGCAGATCTACATCTTCACACCCTCACACCTGCAGATCTACATCTTCACACCTTCACACCTGCAGATCTACATCTTCACACCCTCACATCTGCAGATCTACATCTTCACACCTTCAAACCTGCAGATCTACATCTTCACACCCTCACATCTGCAGATCTAGATCTTCACACCCTCACATCTGCTGATCTACATCTTCACACCCTCACACCTGCAGATCTACATCTTCACAAATCACATCTGCAGATCTACATCTTCACACCTTCACATCTGCACATCTCCTCTCGCTCTTCTTTCTATCTCTCTCTTACGGCGGGGGCGGTGCCGCCGGAGCGCCACGAACGCACGAAATGGAGGTTGGACGTCAAAAACTGCGGAAAAATTGCA